TGTACTCTGATAAACTTTAACGCACTAGTTCTATTCAAATATACCAACATGGTTTAAGCTCCACTGCTCACTGACATTTTTGTGGTGATGCATCAGATCCACTGAGGGGGGAAAATCTTACCGTCAGCAGGGCTCAGTCCTCGGGCCGCTGAGATCATGGAGAGGGTGGGACTGCTGTGTACTGAGCGTAGGTAGTGCTCCATGTGAGGGCTGACATACGGATGTGGAGGGCTGAATGGTGACTCGCCGGTCCCGGCTGCCGCATGAGGAGACAGGCGAATCAGAGAAATATCTGAGATGACTGGACTGCCCGTCAGTCCAGGAGGCCTGTGGAAAGGAAGTAAAAATTGGACAAATATAAATAGCGGTAGAAAGATTTAGAGGCAGAGTGGATTAAGGGAAGGCGCAAGACAGACTGCGAGAGATCAAGGGAGAGAAAATAGAGTGTGTTCATTTGAATATTAGCATTGTTGTTATCTCCTGAATGATCTCCAGTGGTATGTTCATAGACATGCCTTAACTTTTGTGTCTTCAGTCCAAATCCATTTACACCCTTTCCCCTCCCCAGTCACACAGCTAATACATAATAATCCCCATTTGTTCACCTTCTCCCATTAAGCCCTAAAGCTACAGACAAGTTGAGACCAGGACGTCAACTGCAACGCTACGATGAAGTGTGTTGTATCTGTTCGGATGGGCAAAACTGCCGGGTGTCTCAAATCAAGTATTACAAGGAGTGTGATAAGAGGACACAAGCAGATGCTTAAAACCTTAAGTGGTTCCCTGTAGCCACATTCAGCTCGAAGTTCGTCTGAAGTTCTCCGTCAGCCTGCCGGTCAAATTGGCCTATACAGTAAATTTGTTACCTGTGGCAGGTAATTGGCAGCTGTGCTAGCAAGAACGCAGACAAGTAGGTGTTGTAATCCTGAGCTAGATAAAACTGTCTGATAGCCGCAGGCAGTACGACACAGGCCTTTGAAGGGGCACTAGTATTTATGTCGGCCAAGTTTGCTTTAGGCATGACAAGAGCCTTGTTTTTCCCCTGAGTGTGTGGTACGAAAACCTGGCACAGATCCGGCCCTCAGAAACACACTTAAGCCTAAGCAGTGATTACTAAAATGCTACATAAAAGAGGGGGTTATGTTACTAGCTAGTAAATTGTCCATCAGTATGTTGCAGAAATCAAAGTGAGACAATGTATCCACTTGTTTTCGTGGACGCCGAAGAAGACATTCGAAAAGTTTCATTCTCTGTGATCATGTGAGAGCATTACAGCCATAGGCCATCAGTCATTCATACTACAGTCAGGACAGAAACAGGCACTGGGAGGAAGATGTGGGTAATAACTGTAAGACAGCCCTGAAGACAGCGGGGTCCTCCCTTTCTTAGAAATGACCAGACTAATGACTCACTAAAACTGTCAGCGAGTTTGAGGAGGGCCTTGCACAATGAGTCGAAGCAAGAAATGATTCAAGTTTTGGCCACCGTAAGGCTGCTTTTAACCTTCTAACATCCCGCAGGTCTACAGCAACCTATCTGTGGTTAGAGTTGGGCTTTTTTGTTGCTGTTGTTTTAGCCACATGCTACATAAGCAAATTTTGTTGGCTATAAACTATACAATGTTATATAAGATTTTCCATTTGGGTGGTCCGATTAAGCAAGTGTATAAAAAGGAGTGGCGTGTAACTGAACACTAACCCCAGATGAGTTGCCAGTGACCTGTTGGATGTTAAGAGGTTCAAACTGAATGTTGAAATGTTCCCATTTGGTCATTTTGTTCCCATATTAGGCCTTACTTTACATGTTCAAGTGTGTGATTGAAGTGATTTTATGCTGGCCTTGTTCAAATCTTTCAAACATTACACACTAAATGCTCTCTCGTTCACATAATCTTCTCGTTTTCAGTTAAATGCATCTGTCAGCAGCACTCACTAGAACAATACGAAGTAATAAAAATAACAGAAATGCTCTCTTTACGAGTGACGCCAAGCAAACTCTGACACTTCAGCATCTCCATGGCTGTTGTGTGAACAAATGAGTGTTTATATGTGTGGTTTTGACTTTGGGCAGCATTGACTGCAGCCTGGGTACGCATCGTGTGTGTGTGTGTTAGGAATGGTTAATCTTTTATAGAGGTATAACCTCATTTATCAAAAGTTTATGGCATAAATCAAAGTTAATGAGGAAAAAAAATCAAAAATCAGGCAGGATTGGATGAAATGAGTGTGACTGCTCCCATTTGAAACTCCTTTCTGTGGCTATGAAAGGTGGGTCAGGGACCTGGTAAGGCTGAGACGTCCCCCTCACCCCATCCTCCCTTCAGAATTTCCCTGCTCAGTCTTTCTTTCAGTGTATCTGTGCG